TCGGAAGAAATAATATCACATTATTATCATCCCTGAATTTTTCAGGAGGGACTGAGGAAGTCTACGCAATATCTCTGGTTATTTGGCCTCTGGTGACGCGGAATCAACGAAGGAATGCAAACCGCTGAAATACGTCTTTCCATTGAATTAAACAAGATGATAAAACAATAATTTGTAAATATGGAGACTTTCGGAAGGAGTTGGCTATTCAATAAAGACTAATAACGTAACATTTTCAGAAAACCCCTCCAATAAATATGCAGGTATGTGCTTAGATTGGAGAACTGACCTCGTGCAAATGCAGTTGGCTGTATGGATCAGAAACGGTCTTCGTGTCACACGAGTCCCGAAGTTGGGAACACGACATAAATTCGAGGAAACGCTGAAGCGATGTGCTGAAGAAATGTCACAGGTGGTGTGATTTAAGAAGGAAAATAGATCGATGGCACTGTGAACTGAGAGTCGTGTTAGCATGGTTCAGGTGCTTCATCGCAGCGTCAGCAGGTTATCTCAGAGAAACTTCACTACGATAAACTTTTAATTTGAAGCGCAAACATAAGCTAATCTCTCCAGGCACGAACAAAATCAAGAGTGAATCTGAACTACTGTGTCTCGCTTCTGCACTCCGCAGATTAGGCTGAAGGCACTCCAAATTCTTGTCCATCTTTCGGGTTGTCTTGAATTCTGGTCCAGAAGTATTATTGTTCTATGGCAATTTATCTTTAACCTGAGGTAGTATATTCTTTTCTCTTGTCGGGTATAACTTACCACAGGAAACAAATCGTGTCGAAGTTTGAAGTTTCTGACACTGGTACGTTGTAAAATTGTTCTTTTGGGCCTTGTCTGTCGTCTGAACTATAAAACTACAACGTTTCGAAAGTTGGATTCTGCTTCTGTCTTCAGGTAACAAGAAGTAACAGGGCATAAAGGCCTATCTGTTGGACCTCCTGGTTGAGCTAGTCTCAGATCTGGACATCTGTGTAAATTTTACATATGTCATATATTCGCAATAATATTATTTTAAAATCAAAGTTAATTTTTTCTCATAATTTCGACAGATAATTTTAGAATATATGGATGCACAAATAATGTATTTTTTTAATACATTGGTTTTCACTACTTTGGCCATTATAAAATAAATATATTTTGTAAAAGTGTGATGAATCTCGCGGGCCAGAAACATGTTCAAGGCGGGCCACATGCGGCCCGCGGGCCGCGGGTTGGCTACCCCTGGTGTAAAAGGTATCAAATTTAATCACATATATTTTCTTTTAATAAATACTTTTTAAATCTTAAATATTTTTCTGCCTGTTTTTATTGACGATCGAACTTACTTTCTATCCATCTGTGGTAGGAATGTGAGTTTTCACACAAATTTCTAGTATCACGGTACGGAGCAAAACCAATATAATTAGCAAAGACTGAATAAATATTGAAGACCATTTTCCGTTAAGTTATTTGATTTGCTCTCCGTTTTCACGTTAATGAATTTTCGTTCTTTGTAGATAGTTCTGCATTAGTTTTCGCTCTGTGTTCTCATCGCCTCAGGGGATTTCTGATAACGACAGATTTTCATTTAATCCAGGTTCTGTTTTGAACACGTTTTCCTATATTAAAATCAGAATAACGCTGTCGGGAATATATTGTTTTCAAACGATGTAATGGATAAATAGAACTCGGTATACTTGTGCAAAGAAATGAATTTAAGCAAGAAATACTTTACGCAGCTGCCGTCTGATTTGGCCTCGTACAACATCGATAGTGAGACGCTTGTCTTAGACCTGAATTTAGTCGCGAACCATCCATCAACTCCTTTAAAACAGAATGCAGACCCAAGGCAAAAAATATTACCTGTGGATGATATCGATTTAAATATCATTGTATTAAAAAAACTATAATTACAACTTTCTTACACCTAGGTATAGAATATTCGCTTTTACGGGTAATTTATTTCTGAATTTTATGTTTCTCACTGGGAAGTAACTTATGTGGTCCCCTTAATAGTATAAGTTAGTAATCCTGGTCGTTTAGAGAGTACTCAGTAACGGTACTGAGACTGAAGAATCAGCTCTTTCATTATTTCGTATTGTGAGAGCAACGTCTGTGACTTATCTCAATAAATCCGCGTGCCCTTTGTACGGTTCTTGTAACAAGGCCATTTGCTACTTCAACACGAGTCCTGACCAGCAAAGTGATAGAGCAGGTACGAGTGAACGATGTTTTGTATTAATCGCAAGGCTTCTCTGCTTTATCTCAAACCTTCTACTGCATCGTGATTCTTGGCGTCTGTTTGCCAGAATCATATTGTGCTGAGGTTTCTATTGGTTTCATTTGCGTCTAGACGTCGGCGTTGCTATGTTATATAGATCAGAAACACAAGAACTTCTTTGTGTGAAGTTGGTAGCCCTAATCCGTACATACGCTTGACTTATCAAAGCGACGCTGTCGGAAGATAACACGTGCTTACATATGATTGCGCCATCACGTCATCTGGAACATGATTCACATCGCCTGCAACAAAAGGAACATGAGCATGATTTTTAATTGACATGCTTCCTGGAACCTTTAGGGATGCGTACCATTTGAATTTCCTCATTATAATAAAAAACTTAATGTCAGTCCTTCCATGTGTATGGCTATTTCTCAAATGGCATGTTGTGACGTCAGTCTATTCCACGCAGACAGCATTTGAGAACAAGATTGTAGAAAAGAAAGACAAGTGAATAATGAGAAGCGTCATCATTTGTTTACGTCATCATTTCGGCCAATAAAGGGTGATCAGATTAAGAACAGGGGAATCATCAGGGACAGACTTTACTGTCTACGGGTTAACTTTTCAGAATTTAGGAAATTCTTAGTCCAGAATTTCTTCTTTGGACTTGGTTGTGAGACAAAATTAATGCAGCCACAATCCATCGATGAAGGATTGGTTTCGTCCGACTAGTCTGAGAGAATGGCGGTAATAGTAGCCGCGCGATCTATGTCTATCAAGAACTGTGAAGACGCGGATTAAGTAGGTAATCGGAGGAAATCCGATTCGGTCGGATTCGCTTTTGATGCGACAGCAGAACGCTTTTGGGAACGTTGGACTGAATGCCGTCTGTCCAAAGTGAGGAATCCTATTATTTTCTTGATTTAATTCAGACAATGCTTGATTAAATCAAGACTGGCCAAGTTTTCTGTTTATATTTGTCTTTTCAGATCTAAGCGATATATTTACATCCTCGGTGCATGTGTATTTGCCCGTTGCATGCAAGCTTTATGCTGTCGTTTAACACAAAAGGCTTGGATCTCCATTCAAGGTTTCCCACTCTGTATAAAAATACTTTTCAGACTAATTGTGATTTGCGGAACATTGTTTATTCAAGTAAGAAGTTTGAATTGCTTAGGTTATTGAGCATCTAATGTTACGATAATTTATGAATGATTAAATGGAAAGGATACAAACGACGAACAACACATTCAGGAAAGGAATCTATCAATGTTTGCTCCGATTTTTAAAACCCCATAGTAAATAACAAGTGACTTAAAACAAAATAATGTAAGTAATACATGAGCACAAGCAAGAGAATGAAGGGGGAAATAGAGGATAATACGTATCGAGAAATTTTGCGATGTATGAAGCTATATTAGTTGAGTTAGGACATTCATGTCAAAGAGATATGACTGGCTGGACCTGTAGTCAGAAATACAGAAATACTATGAAGAGATGAAAGTGTTGTAAGAAATAATGTTAATAATAAAATGTTTAAAAGAGTAATACGTTGTGAGTACAATTTGTATAGAACTTCCTCAAGTTATTTAATGTTACTGAGTTCGTTATTAACACATGACGTAATTAGTTTTGTTTGCTTTTGAGTTTTCTTCGTTTTTAGTTTCTAATAGTTGACAATTGATACAACGATCTTATTTACTGCATGAATCAAAATGTAATTGTATTATATAGGTTTACCTTGTTTTCTCAATGCATGTAGCTTATATAAGTACGTCCTGTCATCCTCATGTACTTCTAAACTCAAACACAAACCACTCTCTTACCCTATCTCAAAACTGCCGTTAGACGTTATCTTGTTCAACGTGTGTACATACTCATAAATGTTAAAGCTTCTTGTTACCATGACACCTAGTCACAAACAATCATTACTGTCCTAGAAGCCAGAGAGCAGCAGGCAAGGCATATCGACAGCATATCATCTCATTTACACAATGTAATACGGTCCTTTCATTATAAAAAAACCGATATGAAATTGCATTACATTGTCGATATAATAGTAGTAAAATATCTACTTTTTACGGTCATATATTTGTTTTTAATTACGCAGTATTGTATTATTATTGGTTCTGGGGGAACGGGGGGTAGACCCTGTCTGTATGGAGCTTCGTCTGCTAACGGATCCTCTGTTTTCCCCTACAGTATCACTCCACCGCTGGTATCCGGAGGCCCCAGTGTCACTTTATCCTCCATAAATCCCACATCGACTGGACCCGAGCGTGAGCAATGGCGACTAACCTCCTGAATCATGCAACGGCCTTTCTTGGAAAACAAATGATTACAAAAGCACACACAGATCTTTTTGCAAGTTGCAATCTAGACGCATTGAGCTAAAAGTGACATGTGTAGGCTACGAAATGTATGCTGACGAAATGAGGTGTCTACGAAAAATGGTTCGGAGAAACTTTTGGCATGATAAGTAATACTGCAAACGAAAGGATATAACTGCATATTATTAAACCTTTGAAACGGAAGCTCGTCTAAATTATGTTTAATAATTCATTTCGTACCGAAAACAAAACAAAACACATCTCCATTACGAAGATCAACTGGCTAATGATGTTAATGTTAAAGCAGGTGGTATATATTGTTACCGTTTACCTTTAAAGGGCTAAGCCACAGTGAAGCTCTGTTCTGTAATTATGGTAATATTAATTATAATTTATACTCTCAGACACGTTCTTTGCTATTTTGCGTAATTAATTGATGTGGTTAATAGTTTTGTATTTACAGAACTTGATTTCCTTAAGGGAGAATAACATTTAATATAAATGTTATAAAAATCTATTAAAGGCTTGTACACTTATATGTTTCCGTAAAATCTTTTTAAAAATCTTCTTTCTTATGTATAACATGGAAATTTTTGGTATGCGTACCTACCTCTATGTGTGTATGCATGTTTGCTAGTAGCTCGAGAAAGGGTCTACTTATTTGCTCCAAACTTGGCATGCACATGCATTGAAATGAGGAGGAAGTTTTAGACAGGTAAACATTCCAATAAACGTTCCTGGGTTCAAGTCTTAATGAATAATATTTCTGTAGCTCGAAATATGGGAAAGATAAACGAACAGAGTCCAAACCAAGGTTGTTTTTTTTTTCTTAGGGACATTACAGAAGCTAAGGCCATAGCCCCGAAAATTTGTCTTAGGTTCCAGTTTCGCTTAGAATGATTTTTTGAGCTCGGAACTTAGATGGAAAAATGGCGACAGGACTAAAACTGTTTGCTCCAGCGAGGGAGTACAGAAACGAAGAAAACTTGCCCAGTACAAACATTTCTGAATGCTATGAATTGAACGGGAAGGCAAAGAGAGACTAACCGTAAGCTG